ATTTTTTTTCATTATTATTGTTATTTTATTTCTGCAAAATGTGCACCCCCCCCCCCCCCCAGCTAAAGAATCTGAAACTGCCACTGTGTAGTCATCATGATATTGATTCCATACTTTCCATTGCTGTAAATTACATTCAGGAACACATCATGTAATTTACAGCAATCTCTAGAGCACTTACAATTGACTGACCCCACACATTGGAAATTACGCTGCCAAAACGTCTACCATGCCAAGATTACTGTGTCTTTCCATTTGCCTGACTTGACCTTCATTGTTCATCAATTACAGCAGGCCTGACTTATCCCCATTGTGCCCCTCGTTATGTCATTAAATGTTCAATCATTCAACCAAATACGAGCCAGATTTTAGCAGTTAAAACTTCCTGTGGATTGGAATCCATTAGAGGCAACTGCAATCGTTGCTCTCTGATTGTAAATGTCCCAAGCACGGCTGGCACTTAATTGAATCTGGGGGCTGACTTAATTAGCACCTCGTGGGTTTAATCACTTTAATGTCCTATTAACAGAGAACTGTCAAAATCATGATCAACTTATTTCCTTATACTCTTCTCTTTCACCATGTACTACTGGTACTGTTTGTATAGAACCCATTGCTTATTGGAAGTGGGTTACACCTATGAAAATGAGAGAATTCAGGAATCCAAAGTTAAATAAGTAAGGTTCATCTAATTGTTGATTAAACTTGTGAAAATAGAGAGGCTTCATTAATTCTTTCATTTCATGTGCTATTATCTGGAAGTACAAGTTTCCTAACACTTCTCTAAAAGAAATCGAAATGGTAAGAAATATATTCCAAAATAAATTCTATTTTTTTAATTTGTTTTAATTAAACAATCTGGTAGCTAAAGTAACCTATACGGTAGATGGACAATATAAACCAAGTCATACAATGTAACTAAATCAAGTTTGTATCTTTAACAAAAAATCTCCCATTTCACTCATTCATACAGAATATAAAACAGAAGTGATATGTATCATTATCCACAGCAGTATAAAGTGTGTTTCTTTGCAAAAGACAACTTAATTCAGATAACTCCTCACCATCTAAGATGATCTTGGTGACTATTCCTTCCCTTTATATTTAGAATCATGTCAAATTTGGGGGATTTTAATAATGTGGATAAATTATAAAGGGATTTTTGACACGTGCAGGTAGGTCTACTCTAAAACAGGATCCCAATTTATGTCCTCAATACTTTGACACTTGAAGTGCGAGAGGACAGCAAAAATGGCACCATATCAATTACAACTCATCAATTCATTTAAATATTCAGAGGTAGGGACTAGGGAATTTGGAGTACATAGCACTAACTAAATCAAAATCATAAGTTATATCAAACATACAACAACTAATCTATTCAAACCCATTTTAGATTTGATGTGGGGGGTTTTGTGTGTGTTTTGTAACTCAAGAATGAAAGGTGAACTGGTAGAATAAGGGCCTTTATTAAATACTTTAAGATGTAAGTTTTAATGTCACATTCTCATGAATCATAAATTGGGACAAATCAATTTCACACATGCTTAAAACTTACAAAACTTGGTAAGGGTATGATGATTACCGGTAATTTAGCTGTTAACTATATGTGAACACTGCTCTAATCTACATGTATGTGAGCTTCATAGGTTTAACCATGCACACAGTCTTAATCATTATCAGATTTAACAGATTTGGTTCACCAGCAGCGTTAAAACACGTCATTTGTGAACAATGCCTTAATCCAACTGATCAATAGATTTGGTACTACATGTACGTGAGCTCTACTAGTAGAAAGTCATATATTCTGATCACAAGGATATTACACAATGCTGGAGAAAGATTACACAATGCTGAAGAAAGATTTTGAATGATTCCCTTTCCCATGTATAGACAGTTAATCATCATGAGGTCAGCAAAAATGCTCCTACGTCAAAGTTTGAACACTAGTCACATAAATTTCTAAATCCAATCCTGGACCAAGAGTCCTACATGTAGCCCTAAACCTAACCTTAACGTTTCATAGGCCATGTTCAAACCCTTTTACCTTTGGGCTTCAAGGACAAAATAAAGCTTGGGGTAAATTTTAACTGTTGGATCACCTGAAGTTGTACATGACAATCAATATTAAACCTCAAGTGATAATTGCTAATAATATATGCCCTTTACACTATTTTTGACATGTTCTTCCAAATGTTCATCAGGACAGTGGCTTTAGAGACTTCAAGATGAATGATTCAGATAAATATGTAAATACGACTACAATCAAATTGAACTGAATATGCTGTAAAAATTGTTTCATTTAATCAAAAATACTTGAAATGATAATTCCTTTGCCAATGCTTCAAGTGTATTCATCAATGTTTACTGATTTGTTTTACCTAGGGCGTATGTTTTCAACATGTGTTTTATCGAACCTATAGGAGTAGACTACATACATGTGTTCTCCCACACTCATTCTAACACATTTGTAAATGGGACTCCCCCACTAATTAATCTATGCTAGATGTAGCGTATTAAGAGCTCTATGTGAACAAACACCTTTTTTATATCATTCATCTCATTGGTTCATTTAGCATGGCTTTGTGATAATGAGCAGAACTAATTAAATTTTTATAGATTTTTTAAAAATGTAACTGTTTACTCAGAAGTAGACAATAATTTCAAAATAATTTGAATTGTTGAAGACCCAAAATATACTTATAGGCTTGCACATTAAGGCTAATCTTGAGCTCTGGTATGTGAATCAGATGTCGAGAGAACATGGCAATCCTGCAGTAGATTGATTGTTTAAACCAGTAAAATAAAAACAAACTCACACAAACTTGCTGGAAATCAACTTCAATAAAAACCACAACTCTCATATTTACACATAGTGACCAACTCTTATTTGAGGATTGTCTAACAAAGCAGCGAGGTAAGATAATTGACACCCTTACAGAGCTTTTGCTCTTTAAACTGGCTTGAACCTAAAGGTTGTATAACTCCTTTCCTGACTCCTTCTAATTATACTTTGCTACATGTATCTGTGTCTTAAGACAGGGGTAAATGCTTATCTTCTTGGTGCAGAGAAAACAGTCTGAGACTGACAGGGGAAAAGCAGGGAGGTCAAAAGTAACTCGAGACAAAATAAGTATTTTTAGTAACTGAAGTTTGGAGGCAATATGGATCATAACCCATTATATATGTATGAGTGTGAAAAAAAAGTTCTTTTCAGATGGATTTTCAGTATCATGATATAATTACATTTTAGTAGAGTCATACTCAGTAGTACACATGCTTTGACAAAATTCACAAATCAACCAGTTAGAATGTAACTGGTATGCTCTGGAAAAAAGTACTTTTGATGTCAGTTCAAAAAGAAGAAAAAGGAGATGATTACGTGAATACCACTATTTTAAAGTCTGAAAACTAGGCTATAAATCTAAATAATGTTACAATGAAGCCTTTGAGGGGTTCTAAAAAGAATTAACTCATTTTTATTTGATCAATGAGTCACTGCACTTCTGTAGCTTATTCAAAGCAGCTGCATTCAAACAATGAGTTTGTACTTCAGAAGGTTTAAGGTTGAACATTTAGGATTCTATGCTACAACAATGTTTGATATCATCAACATCACACACTTAATGTCCACTTTAGTAATAGGTCCATGGCTCTACATGGGTATTTTGGCTTTAACACGGGTATGTTGAGGGTATAGTAAATTGTGCATAAATACTTTGATAGTATTTCATTGTAATAGTTGCCCTAAAATAAGATGATAGAAAAAGAGGACAAATACATACTGCAAGACAGATAAAGAGTGGCAAAGAAAAATCATATGCGAAAATATAACTTGCAAATTAGGAAAATAATAAATCTAAGATTTTACTTGAGAATATGCAAAAAGTACTCTAATGACATGTTTAAAAAAAATTTAAAGAATCACAATTTCTGTTAAAAGTTTCTCAGGTTATTTATTAATGCTATGCATTAATGCAATTTAGCTTCATACACAATAACTATTTTGGGTTAGATCAAATATTTCATGTCAGCTAACAGGAGGCTAGAGCAAGCAAAAGTATATCTTATCAGATTGTGACAGTTCTGTCTGGTTGTGTACAACACTGTGTACAACAATAGGCCTAAAATAGGCCTTTTAAGCATTTAGTGAAGCCAGAATGACACTTACATTGTAGATCTGTTTTATACATATTGTATTGTTTTATAATAGATTTTTGGATCAAGCTGTTTAGTTAACATTAGACTGTATACTTCATGCCTAAATACTTTATGATTATTGTATACAGTAAGTAATGATTGCTTTGAAAAGATAATCTGCTTTCTAGTTTCTATATCACATTTATCACCAACTTCAACATCAATGTAATTTGCCACTTTTACTAGTGTCTTGGTGTGGCTAGGCGTTGATAAGGCTCAGCCACTGAAAGGACACTGGTATCATGAGAGGGGGCACATGATCAAGGCGAGGGAGGGCACTGGTCTTACTAGTTGGAAGAAATGTGCACTAACAAGGTCATCGGTTGGGGGCAGGTGGTGGGAGAGAGAGTTGAAGTATCTATTTTTTCTATTTTTCCTTCCTCCCTCCCCCCCCCCCCCCCCTCTCTCTCTCTCTCTCTCTCTCTCTCTCTCTCTCTCTCTCTCTCTCTCTCTCTCTCTCTCTCTCTCTCTTTCTCTCTCTCTCTCTCTCTTCTATCTCTCTCTCTCTCTCTCTTTTATCTCTATTTCTCTCTCCCTCCATGTACATTCAATTGGGGGACTACCCTCCCCCACCCAACCCTATCATGGTCATGATCACTTCATCAGTGTCATCACCATTTTTACCTTCAATATTTCATTTTACTTTAACCAAAGTTTGATTTGAAAGACAAGTTTTGTAACAGCTATCATTGTCATGCATATGCACTTGATCCCCAAAATACACAACACTACAATCTCTACTGGTTAACCTAGAAAGGGCACAACAGGTGTTTGTTTGTTTTTTAACGGCCATGATTTACCTTGAACCAGACAGCAGACTCTAGACCCGTGATTGAAGCTTCTACGACATCCTTCACCTTCCTCCCATTCCTAACAGTGGTACGTTCCATATCCACTTGAGGTACACTTCCATCTCGAAGAGAAATCTTTCCAAAAATCTTCCATCTTTCACAACCACCTTGCCCATCACTGATGCCCGAAGAGCTACGGGAGCAGGGCAGTTGCAGACCCAGGGCACAGCCGGAGCCTCGGCCACGGATATACATATACATCGCTGGATTTCAGCTCACCTCCCGGCTTCTACGTATCGAACAAATATCAAGCTTCTAATACAGATTATATATCCAGAATACATAGTCATCTCCCTGATGAAGCACATTTGGAGCTACCAACTTTCGAAGTAAAGTTCATTACCTTTTTATAGGTAATTTGTTGGAAATTTCGTAAGAGGAACATCTTGCGAAGTCATTCTGATCTGGTGCACGAAGATCATGATACAGGCTGTCATAAACCCACTCAAGTGACGTTACTGCATGCATGTATGCACAGTGTGTAGAATCGCTAGGCTATTTCTCTACTTCCTCTTCCGCAAACTTTGTGATACTGTAGTCTTCCATACTGTACCGGGCTCCACTCTAAAGTAATCTGTGAGCTTCATTTTACTCAGAAATTATTGAATGAGATAATTATGTCAGGCTTACAATCCGCCCTGTTAACCGATTCGATGGCCCTTTTAAAAGCACTCGACAATTATTATTGACTGAATTTGAGATGTAGCTGTAAAAAGAGGTTTCTCCTCGACCAGGAAGCTGTACTTCGTTGCTTGCATTGGCGGGCTAGATAAACTATAATGACGATTTATTCAATTATAACGATTCTTTCGACCTACACTTTTTAAACATTCTTTATAATAACAACACTACCGTCTTCTTTAATCTGACTATGATAACATACCTACATGCACCCGTCCTAAGTTTAGTCGGGGGTCGTTTGAATGATTATAACTATAATCAGTCAGGCCTTGGCGATAATTAATTGATGTCGTCTCGGTTCCAAATCAACTAATATACAAAACACATAAAGCCACTAACACAATAATTGTAATAGGTAAGTAATTGTGGTCTCATTTACCAACGTCTTCTTTGAGTGTTGAGATTTCATAACTGAAACAATGCTCACTAATTCAATTATCTGTGCCGAACATTATTTTAATGAATGCCCTCCCATCTCCCTGGCGATAGTAAACTTGATCAGTCTTTTAGCTATTATATCTCCCTTAAGAGTAATAGAGATTCTCCTGGTTTCATGTTTTAATGACATCTAGAAACTACTTCATTTTATAGCAAAGTCGGGTTAATGAGAAGCATACAGGCTCATTCTTCTCATTCGCACAAGGTCATTTATTTTGTTTGTTTTTGTTAGCGTTGTGTAATTTGGTGTTTTTCCCATGCCACTCATAATTATTTACACCACGTAGAGGATGGTCCCAGGGAAACAATATTTAACACATAAAGTCATGTTCTTTAAGGGATAACCCTAAGACACAGATTGGTGGTATTAACTGAAGGCAGGCGCGTAGCCAGGGAGGCGGTGGGGGCGGTCGCCCCCCCCCCCCTAAAAAAAAAAAAAAACGCCGGCCAAAAAAAAAAGAGAGAAAAAAAAAGAAGAAAGGAAGGGGAACTTGTTTTAAACAAGGATTAAGAGTCGAGGACGGTACAACGAATCGTCTTCTTTCTCTAATGAAACGTCAAAAGAAACTGAATTAGATAAGGATTAAGAGTCGAGAACGGTCCAACGAATCGTCTTCTGTCTCTAATAATGCAATGAAACGTCAAAGCTTTCGCGCTTCGCGCGGGAGGGGGGGGAGGAGTCCCCCCTTCCTGCACCCACCCCCCTAGGGAGCGCGCTATGCGCGCTCTGTAAGTGATTCGCACGCTTCGTTTGCTCACTACCGCCCCCCCCCCCTAAAATGAAATCCTGGCTACGCGCTTGACTGAAGGACCTCAAATCGTCATAACGCAGAAATTAATGAATCATTAACGTTTACTAGAGAATAATAAGGAAACAATTACTCTTTAAAACAATCACGCCATCATCATCATCATCTATGATCCTCAACCTCTCGATACTCTCAAGAGCGCACATCAAATCTATCTACTTATGAAAATAATTGTTAACTAAACTCAGTGGCACAATATCAGCATTTCATTTCATTCATGGCACAATATCAGCTCTTCACTCATATGTCACTCATGTGCTTCTGTCTTTGTAAATAACATCACTCGTCCATATTCTGATTATGTTAATCATTTATGTTCTTAACAATTCGTTTAACAAGTTTATAGCGCTCATAATTATCAAGCGTGTATTTTGCGCTGTATAATTATATGGACATTATTAATTTCTGCATTAACCTGATTTTATTGGCTGTCCGGGTACTTAGATTCCAAATCAGCCAGCATATTAGCGTGTTATATACAACTTGGAATAATGATACACATAGTTAAATATACAATATCTGTGTATTCAAAAGTAAGTTACCTTATTCTCCAGGAAATGATGTCTAAACGTTACATCGTTTAACTTCACTAAAAGCGAAATGAACTCATCTAATTAGATTAAACGACTTAATTGCGATATTACCGCGAACCGTTTTAGAACTGATTCCAAAGTGTAGTGGTTATCAAGGAAACTTCAATGGGAAGAGGGAAATAAGTAGACTTTGATGCGAGGAAACTGATAACAGCTCCTCTTGACCACTTCATTAAGAATTGCTGATTAAATACGTCGTCATTGTGCGCAGAAACATGGGTCCTGTAATATTGACTGTCGACATTTCTGAAGATTAATTATAGATTAATAGATAAATACATTGTTCATATATTGATATAGATATAAAGGTTGAGAGATAGGGAGAGAGGGAGAAAAAGAAGTTTAGATATAGATAAATTGAGGGAGAGAATATTATGTGTAGATATAGTTATACATTAGCGGATATATAACGATGGAGAGATTATTTTTTTGATGGTTCTGATGATGATAATGACGATGGTAATGATGATGATGATGATGATGAAAATGATGATGATGATGATGATGATGATGGTGACGGTGATGATAATGATGATGGTGATGATGATGATGATGATGGTGGTGGTGGTGGTGGTGGTGGTGGTGGTGGCGGTGGTGGTGGTGATGATGATGATGATGATGGTGATGATGATGGTGTCTGGTAATGATGATGGTGTCTGGTGATGATGATGGTTGTGGTGATGGTAATGATTATGATGATAATGATGTTGCTGGTTGTGGTGATGATGATCGTGATAATGGTGGTGATGGTGATGGTGGTGATGATAGTGATGATAATAATGGTGTTGGAGGTGGGGTGAAGATGATGATAATGATGTTGGTGGTTGTGGTGATGATGATAATAATAATGATGGTGGCGGTGGTGGTGGTGATGATGGTGATGATAATTATGGTTTTGGAGGTGGGGGTGATGATGATGTTGTTGATGATGATGATGATGGCGGTGATCGTGATGATTATGGTGATGGTGTTGGTGGTGGTAGCGGTTATGATGATGTTGACGATTCAAATATTTTGAGTAATAAGGACTGTGTATTCTATTATATAGTTTTTTCTTTCTATAAAGCCTACATCTATTAGTAGACTCTGCAAATATTGTGAACTGAATTCACAAAAATTCAAATTATGAATGTAAGAGGTCACAAATGATTTGATTTTGAAATAACTGGCAGGAAATTACCGTGCTTCTTTCTCAGGGGTGAAGGTAGGTGGCGCTTGAGGCAATTGCCCTCGTGGTTTACGAAATAAGCACCCCTCCTACCACCCTCCATAATAAATACGTAAAATATATATTTTGTAACATTCAGATTCATTTGTTTACTTGCTTCACATAGATTCTCGACACATGTAAACGAGTAAAGGTTCAGCGAATAGATATATTTTGACTTTTTGTGTCAGAAATGTGTAGATCTGGGGCCCAAACCTAATATACCCTGCTCTTCTTTATGATGAAGAGGGGGGCATTAAGCCACAGTTAATTCGCAACGACTTAATCAGCATTGTCTCTTCCTCCTTCATATTGTCATCTTAAAATCTCTTCTTCGATAACAATAATGAAGTCCTTGACACTCCCGACACGACAGACAGCTGTTTCGGTTATGACATCCTGCTAGTAGCAATAATGTTTAATACATTGATCACGTGCTCATAATCTCTAACTTCCTGTCATATTAATTTCTGAATGATATCTTAAATCATTGTTACAATATCTTCCTAACTTTATGTCAAGTTAAAACACTTATCAACTTCACTCTTTTTTAAGTTTCACTCTTCATTCTCATTTTAAGAAAGGAAATCGTGCGCTTAATATTTGGTTGAATTAAATATTCATAATCATATTTATGACATTTTACTCTTCTTGATGCTCTCCTTTCCCTACCCGCAGTATTTAGGTTTTAAAGATTTAAAACAGGAAGTAAACCATCCTTTTATATTAATCAACATCAAATTTCCTTGATCTAAGTTTGTTAATCTCTGCATTGCATTGACATGTATTGTTAACTCAACGAAGGATGCGTTTATTTAAATACCTCTTTCTTTGTTTCCGTTATCTTTATGTCTTCTTGTTCTTCTCTCTTTCTTTGTTTCTTCTATTTTCTGTGTGTTTATGTTTGTCTGTGATTATATTAAATCTATTAGGCCTCTAAGCTCTCTACCGATTAAGTTTGTCTTATTGAGTGGTCTAGAATCTCAAATAACGAGCACACTATACTGCAGTACAAATAGAAGAGTTTTGTCATCCTTTTAATCAAATGGAACATTAATGAAATCTAAATGTCTGATACGCAGTCGTCAGACGTCGTGTAATCAGTTAATACAGCGCCTAAGGATTTATATTGTCTAGATCACTGATATAAGCTAAGAAAATGAATTTAGAACGGGGGGGGGGGGGGGTGGGAGGGGGGCAAACGTTGAATTAACAATGACAGGAAATGTGATAAATTGTCAACTATATGCTTCATTTTCTGTTTTCCCCCATATTCTCGCAATATTTTCATAAACAAAAAGAAGCTGTTTGGAGATTTTAAAAAATACAAAAATTAGGTTTTACCATCATTGACTACGAGAAATACACACAAATTATCACGTATTCTGGATGCCTTAGCGGTATATATCTAAGAAAAAAATACAATGGAAAATATCCCCCTTTTGCCCCAGCACTGAAACACCATATAAATCACTCATGAAATTAGTTAAAATTAAAATTAATTAATCAAAGAATTAAAAAAAACAGGACTTTTTTGTTACTTGGTATATCCGCTGTCCTTAAAATAGTTTTGCAATATAAAGTTTGAATTATACGGGGAATTTGTCATAATAATGACAAACTATTGAACTAAAACCAATACATTCTTAACATCGAATAGAGTTGATTGGCAAACCCAGAAAAGAGTCAGCAACAGTTGTTTGGACAGTCTAAGTGTATACCTATACCGTACCATAAGCTGATATATAA